ATAAGTGAAATGACTCCAAGTGTTTGCCAGTTGCAATTGCATCTTGATGGACAACAATTTGTTTCATTCAAAAATAACCACACTATCGAACAGATAATAAACAATCCAATGATAAGGAAAACGATGTTAACAGAATTTTTTCTTATGAACAAAATCAATAACGATGCTATAAATCTCAATTTACTGTATAAAGAATTTCCCCAACACTTTGTATGGTCATCATCATACAAAATATGGTCGCGTCGAAAATAGCGCCTTACTATTGGACGTATTGTCACATGTCATCCAACTGAAGGAGAAAGATATTATCTTAGGTTGCTTCTGATGAACGTAAGAGGACCAAAATCATACGAACATCTACGTACAATGGATGGAACATGCTACACTACATTTAGAGAAGCTGCAGAAAAAAGAGGCTTACTATATTCTGATAACAACTTAACTGCCTGTATGTCTGAAGCTGTAAGCTATCAAATGCCTTATAGTTTAAGAAGACTATTTGCAACACTATTAGTTTATTGTAATCCTGGTAACCCAAAAGATCTTTGGGAAAAATATGAAAACTCTATGTCAGAAGATTTTCAAAGTATTTCAAATGTTACCAAAAAATATATCCAACAGTTAGTTTTAAATCATATCAATGAAGTTCTACTTTCAATGGGACGTAACATAAATGAATTCAAAGATATATTTGGAAATGTTAACTCTTCTAAAACAACTAATGAGGCCAAAGAAATATATTTCGAAAGAAATATAATAGTGTCTGAAGAAGATATACTTCTACAAACCAAATTAAATGTTCACCAGAAAAGGGCATATGACATAATTCTTGAAAGGGTATATTACAATAAATCAGGAGCTTTTTTCGTTGATGGTCCGGGTGGAACTGGAAAAACTTTTCTTTATCGAGCTTTGTTGGCTGCCATAAGAACAAAAGGATGCATAGCTTTGGCAACTTCAACTTCTGGTGTAGCAGCTTCAATACTTCCAGGAGGACGCACAGCTCATTCACGTTTCAAAATTCCGATTGACATCGATGAGAATTTCACTTGCAATATTAGTAAACAAAGTTCATTGGCAACTCTAATTCGAGATTCAAAGTTAATTGTTTGGGATGAAGTCTCAATGGCCAAAAAAACACAATTGAAGCTCTTGATACACTTTTAAAAGATCTTATGAATACAAAAACACTTTTTGGTGGAAAAATTGTAATTTTTGGGGGAGACTTTAGACAAACACTTCCTGTTGTTCGTAATGGAAAAAAGGAAGACTTTATTAGTCAAAGTTTATTATACCCTCACATTTGGAATCATCTTGAAAAATTGTGCTTATCTGAAAACATGCGTGCAAAAAAAGATCCAGCATTTTGTGCATATTTAATGAGAATTGGAAATGGACAAGAAAAAACTAACAACTGCAACAAAATTGAAATTCCCAATAATTTTGTCATTCCCTTTACAGATGAAATAGAATCTTTGAATCTTTTGTTTAATGTAACTTATCCTGATTTCCGTACATTCTATTCTAATCCATCTTTTATAACTTCCCGTATTATTTTGACAACAAAAAATGATTTTGTTGATGAAATAAATGACATGCTTATACATAGATTTCCCGACGATGCTACAGTCTATACAGCTATTGATGAAACAATAGAACCAAATGATCAGTGCCAATTTGAAGATTTTTTACATACCTTACATCCTGCTAACTTACCGCCTTATAAATTAACTTTGAAAAAAAATTGTCCAGTTATATTATTAAGAAACTTAAATCCTACTGAAGGTTTATGCAATGGTACACGATTGATATGTCATGATTTTAAGTCACATATTAACAGTGCTACTATTTCCAGTGGTGATTTTAAAAATAAACATGTTTTTATTCCAAAGATACCATTACTAGCATCACAAGATGAAAAGCTACCAGTTCCCTTCAAAAGAACACAATTTCCAATAAGGTTATGTTTTGCTATGACTATAAACAAAGCTCAAGGTCAAACATTAGACAACTTTATGTTGCTTTATCTCGAGCAAAATGTTCAGACAATGTAAAAATATTAATACGTTCGCCTACAGCAGAGAACACAAATGATCATTCTACATATAATGTAGTTTATGACGAAATCATTCGAAAAGCATTCTCACAGTACTTTTAAAACCAACAAATGTAACAACTACGCACCCTGATGTTACACATTCTTAAATTCCCCATTATTTTACTTTACCTGTTTTTTGAAAGATAAATAAGAGTTAACTTGCAATCATATTTCAAGATTTTCAATTTAAAATTTTTGCTTTCAATTCAGATTGTGCTTGGCCAATTACTTAAATTTCAAATTTTCATTTTCAGTAACCTAAATGCTACCATTGCAGGAACAACTTATTCAATCAAGGGTAACTGTTTATATAGTTCTAGCTGAAGGAAATCACAAACATGACCTACCTAAAAAGGCAAATAAAAGATCATGAGGTAGACAAAATTTATAGTCATACTGTTATACCAATTAATGCTCCTAACTTTGTTCACTGTACTTTCAATGATTTCTTCATTTTTATCTTCTCTGTTGATTTGTTATTTAACTTCTGACATTATCATATTCAGCTTATTATAGTATGTTCATCTTCTCAAAAATGTCTTCAGTTTTACATTGCCACTAATCTTACGATATTTTAACATACCATTTTCAATTTGCTTTACTTGACTTATTTTTTTTTCCTGCAATTTCGTGCATAGACTATATTTCTGTTTATCCAAATGATTTGAGCAGCTTTATTTTCTACGATATGCATTAAACACCCATTATGTCACAGCTTTACAAGACTCTAAAAAGAAGGAGGGTCATCATGACCCTTGCATATATAGCTATCTAATATTTCTGCTGTTTGCAACTATTTGGTTTTTTCCTCTGATTTTTTACTATAATACGACTTACACTTGCTTATTTGCTTACAGTTTTGATGTACTTATGTTATAAAATAGTACAACATATCTTTATTATTTTGATTTACTGCTGTTTCAGAGGTCTAATAATTGTAATACTTAAGAATTCTTTAATAAGTTTATCCACTCTAAATTTCATTCAAAATTGTTTTACCAAAGACAAGTGTCATACACATCGGACAGTCTTCTATAATTCTATGCCAGGAAAACCCATAATGTCCTTTACAATTACAGCTTCTGCATTCTATTAGCTCGGTCATCTATTATAACTTCAATGAAAACTATTGTAGCTTTCTCTCACTCTCTTGCCATTCTTTTTGCTTTACGATACTGAGTAGATATAGGGAATTCAACATCATTCTTATTTTGTTGTTTCACTGAACATGACTTTTAACAGAGAAAAATTTAAAACAGATTCATCACATGGAATAATAGAAATAAGCTAAATACCATTGTTTAAGATAATTCTTCTTAATTAATTTTCCTATATGAACATGCACATTTGATATTACTTTCCTAACAATTTGATCTCCGTTTAATCCAATATATGGTAATACAATAGTTCTTCAATTAAATGGGCCCCATAGTACAACTTAAATTACATTAAATTACAGTTGCAGTCTACTGAGAATCCCAAATTTCAACCCACTCCCCCTTCCTTTTCTTACTACCTTTATGCTGTTTACAACTTTTTAAATTTCATTTTTATCTAGCAAGCTGCAGTGATTTAGGCTTTTCCCTGGGGTTGTATATTAAACTTTTCAGCCATTATATCAGCAGAAAATAGAATGTTTTGCCAACTTCATATAATCGCTCTTCAGCTTGTACATTTTACTAGGACCATAACTAAAATGTCAGGGAAAGAAGTTATCTTGACTGATTTGCTTGGTTGATTTTGCACCTTAAATATCAAAATTTTGGTCACTTGCTAGATTTGGACTGTTCAAATGTTACAATAGTTAAAAAGGATAACAAAGATTCTGTTCGTTTGTTAAATGGGTAAAGGAAACACAACACATTCATCTGACTTTTCTCTTCAAAGAGGTTTGAACAATATATTTATCAATTCATTGTAGTTTACGTATTTTCATGACAGTAGTCAGCAGTTCACTTTCAACTTTAGTAAATAATGTTAGCTTTGACTTTATCAATATTACCTTGTCATTCGGCTGCTCTCAAATGACTTCTGCTTCTTCTGATGTAGCTGATGCATGATTTAAGTATTTAACCATATATGTCACAGCTTTCACATTCTACCCTTCTGCATATTCTCTGGCTATATTTGAAACACGGATATTGCATGTGTTGTTTCTTCTCACTTTGTTGCACTTGGCACTAAAATGATTTTGCTGCATCTGAAATCCTCCTAACTATATATGTTTTTGGTTCAAAATAGGTCGAAAATGCAATCTCTTTCTTACTTTTGTACATCTTCATGTTGTGTTACAGTACATTTGTCTTGTTGGTATTCTGTTTTGTTGTGTTTGTCTTTCAATTATTATATCATTCTTCAAATTTTGCTGACACAAGCTTCAAATCTGAGCTTTATGTATTTTCTGATGCTACTGCAGATTAGACCAGATAGACAAACGTTGTATTCAAGTGCCACTTGGCCCAAGAAGGTTGAAGCACTGGCTAGGCAGTTTTTGCGTAATCCCTACAAGGTAAGTACTATATGCATTTTATAATGCTTAATTCTATATTATGTTAACATATTAGTATGTCACAAGTAGGTTATCAAATGGGCAGGTTGGGCTGGAATTGGGAGGGTTAAAATCGGCTGATCCACCTTTACTGGAGCTAAAATGGGTTGGGCAGAAGTTCTTTTGAAAAAGAGCATTTTCAACTAAATGCTGCAGCTGGAATAGCAAATCCAGGTTCGAGGCAAATTTACTGCACATTTCCTTCTGACAATACTTTGAAAGAAAAGGATGTTTCCAATTATTTGAAGTATTATTCGTTTCAAATATTGAATGTATTAAGGTTGGCCTCCTCAGTTTAGTTTCTTAAATGTTCTTATTTTTCAATTTTCTACCACTTACAGGCCTGCTAACAATAATATGATTCCTTTATGTGCAATTTAGTCTAAACAAATGACATTTTACCTATGTTATATGTCACCTCCAAATCCGTCACAGTATTATCAACTTTTATAATATTGTTAACTACCTCTGTTGTTGTTGTATTCTCCTATTACAAAGCCTCAAATTTAAATATATTTTTTTAAACAGATAGCTGTAGAGTATATAGAAAACACACTAACTATTGATGAAGACAACTACCCCCACATTGTAATTCCTTTTTATTCTTCCTCTTCTGTCTTTGTTCTTCTTAGTTTCTGTTATTGGCTACTGTATAGGCAATATGGAAATGATTACTACTTCAAATTTCTTTGTGCTAAAGAAAACTAGACTTTGTTGTTCGTAATAGTGCATACTCTTTAGGAGAATTGTTATATATAGTGCAAGTCATCTACACTCTGTAGACAGCCAGAGGTATATTGTTGAGGTATATTATCATTTCATATTTCACTATTATTTTACTATTAAATATTTCACTATTATCTAAATATCTACTAGGTCTGTATGATGGTTAAAGTAATTACTTCATCTACCTAAACTTAGCTTCTCGATTCAGGAAGTGATGAATGAATTTCTTGTTAACTATGGTTTACTCTCATGTGGAGAAACCACAACGAATGTGTGGAATCATACATAGTTGCAGGAAGGACAAAGCAAGGTTGTTGGTAGACTTCCACAAGTTTAGTTCTCATCCTAACTTGGTAAGTACAAAACACAATCCTCTGCTATTGCTGTTTCATCTTCTTACTCTGAATACATCACCCTGGCAAGACTTTTTACGTTCCTGCTTGGCTTCTTCTATCTTTTCATTTGACAAATTTTGCATCCATATAGAAACTTTTCTTTCATTGTCTCATTTTTCCAATATTACTAATTCACAATTTACTTTTAATTCAATCACATCAACTAACAATTAACACAATGGTATCTGAGGTTAGCACTAACGATTTACTTCATTTCTAAATGTAGTCAATTCACTGTTAAACACGTGCAAATGTACATTTATATCTGCATTTGAACATTGCAATTTCAAAGCTGAAGAGACCATCAGAACATTTCATCACAATCAACCTAAACTCTTATGTTTCAACACCAAAATTCGTGAGTTTTCTGTCTTTCTTTTGTGCATCAAAGATTGATCTTTAGTGTTTGTCATAATGGTGCAATTTCTGTTTTTTCTCCTTCAAACATTCCAACTTCAACAACTTACATCACACATACATCACCCATGTGAACTGCTGCTGTCAGTTATTTGTAAAACATTTTCTCTCTAAAACTTTTTCCATTTCTCCTAATAATCTTGCACAGACACAACAGTGGAACTGTACTGCTGAACTTCTTACTAATCCTCAATTTAATGGGACACAACCACTTGGCAAATCTACCTCCATGAAAACTACAGCTGGGCCATATAATTGTTCTAAACATTACAATCCAATTAACCATCTAACAAGTCAACTAATATCATAAGAGAGCAACATGAAAGCCAATTCAAAGAAAAAACTCCTACGTTAGATCCTTCAAATTAATTGAGCCTTTTTTTAAATGCAAAGCTTCGTCATTATAAGTGTTAATCTGCATTTTATGATGCTTCGTAACGTAATGAATACTTTAGGCAGAAATACTTCAATAAACACATTCATTGCTATCGTACAAGCATTGCACTTTCACCAACTGCAGTGTCTTATGCCAATAGAGTGATCACTTATCTTCAAATCAAAATGCAAGTTTACTGCATTTCATTGTTCTTTTAAGTAACATAAGTAAGACTTCAAAATTGGAAGCTGTCTTACCTCTTTGTATGTGCCTGTATCTAGGTCTGACGAAGTACAGAACGACTACAACGACCCTTGAATCTGGATCTCCGCTACGTTAAACCTTATTCTCCGCATTCAACTACTACCAAACAACTTGGGAAATTGAAAGAATCAATTGAAGGTATAGTTAATCTTCAAATGTTACCATATGTACAACTGTTATATTCAGCTTTCCTGTCTAATGCACATATAGCAACACAGATGAGATTTAACAGAGATTTTCATTCTGTAAAGACTACCTGAGATTTAGCGCAGATGCTTTTCATGAAGATCTCCATCAGCACCAAAAGCTTTAGTATTCAGTTGTACAATATCATTATCCTCCGCTTCCAAAGCTTGTACCATTTTTTGGATCAGTCACGCATTCACAACACCATTTCTAGCAGCTTCCTCCTCCTGAATTGATACTCTACTTTCCAACTCTTTTAACTTTTCCAAATACAACTTCAGTTTTGCCTCAACTTCAGCTTTTTCATTTTTTAGCTGCTCATTTTTCTTCTGCATATCCTTCAATCAATTCTCCATTGGTTAAAGGATGTACAAAAGAAAAATGAGAAACTAAAAACTGAAGAAGCTGAAGTTCACGCAAAACTGAAGATCTATTTGGAAAACTTGAAAGAGTTGGAAAGTACACTATCAATTCAGGAGGAGGAAGCTGCTAAAAATGGTGCCGTGGATGCATCACTGATAAAAAAAATCGTACAAGCTTTGCAAGCGGGCGATGATGATGTTGTACAACAGAATACTAAAGCTTTTGCTGCTCGTGGAGATCTTCAAGAAAACCAATTGTCACCACCTAGGCCTCCATTGGTTCACTCAACTGCAAATGGAGATGGAAATGGAAGTGATAAATGAACACATGAAGGTATTGTTATGCTTATATCTGTCTTGTTGACCTTTGTTTTTAAGTTATGTACTCAATTTCTGTATGGTTTTCAACTTTGGTTAGGAACTTACAATTATTCAGTGATGCTTTTTGTGCTATCCTTAAGCTTTAGTTATGTAGACATGCATGTTGTAATATTTGCTTACCTTTGGACCTAAACCAAACTCCTAAGTATTTATGTGGAACTGCAAATGTGCTACACACTGACTGTAGCTGCAGCCAGAGGTAACACGGACTTCATTTGTACAAAAATGAATGTGGTTAATTGTCCTGATGTCCGGACATTACATCCCATGCCTTATGCTGGTAGTTCTGCTTCACTCAATACCAATGTTTCCAACATACAAAAGAAAAGGTGCCATTCAGAGCAACCAGGTACAGATGATTTATCACGCTTATTCTTACATTTCCTTTGTTACTTCTCACATTCAACCCACATCTCAACTTAGCACTAATGATTTACTCAATTTCTAAATGTTTTTACATCCATTGTTCAACATATATTGAAAATGAAGAAAATCTAAATTACATTATTTTTGTTATACCAATAGAGCAGTAGTAATCTGTCTGTGTTTGTCAACTTACTATTTTGGCTACCATATTAACCACATGACACAGGATTTGATGTGTCTGTTTGTCTGTGTGTATATATATATATATATAGAGAGAGAGATATATATAAATATATATCTATATATATATACATATATATAGAGAGAGAGTATATATATATATACATACATAGATAAGAAAATACATAAATACAGAAATCTTTTTTATCCTTATTTAGAAACAATAAATTAAAGTACAACAGTCTTCATACAAATTCATGCAGTTTGGGTTGCCACTGAAATAATGCCAAAAAACAGACAAAATCATTACAATAGGTAGTCAAATGTAATGATTTTGTCTCTTTTTGGACTGTCAAATGTACTGATTTTCTGCCTTTTTTGGCACTATTTCATTAGCAACCAAATCCCCATGAATTTCTAACAAGACACATGTAATTTTTTTGTCCTTTATAATTTCTATATATATATATATATATATATTTGTAATGTAATAACAAATTAGATACAAATAACAAATTAGATAAGGATAAAGTAGTACATATTTATTTATTTTTTATTTTTTATTTTTTGTATTTTTATATAATAGTACCCTTGTATATATATTACTCATACAACAGAAATTTAATGGCCTTTGATTGAAGAACAAATTTTGCTCCCTTTCTCAGGTAATATTTCTTCCCTTTTCATGTTTTCCCTCTTCCCAGTTTCAATTTTTCCTCCAGATTCTGCTTATCACCAAAACAGGAAAAAAAAAATAGATCAAAATTATATTTATTACTTGGACGTGAATTACTATGGTATTACATTTGTACTCATATTGGAAATGTAAAACCTAAGGAAATAGCCTCCCTTATGAGTTTCCTGTTTCATGCCTCATATTTAATGCTTTCAATAGTATTCAATCTTTCATAGATACAACATGGGCCCAGGAGTATGCTTTTACCTTAATCCCCGACATCATCAAAATATTGGCACAATACCTGTTTTCTTTTGTGTTTTTTTTTGGTTTGTTTTTTTGGAAATTCTAAATAGAAACATCAAAATTTAGTTTCTGTCAATAAAGTTTTTCATATTGTTTTTCCTAAATCTATAGTGATTTCACTCAAGTTTCACACATAATTGTTGCTGGTTTAATATTCTGCAACATTTTCTGTCCCTGTAACAGCTTTTCTGTGAAAAAATAATTGTCCAATTGTACTCTGCACATTAATAATGCCTGCTAACTCATTTTATGTCTTCATTGAGCTGTACTAAAGGGCTCTCCCAGATTTACACATGACTCTACTTCTACTATCACAAGACTGTTGTTTTCTTTTCATTTGTTCTTCATTTTGTTTTAGTTTGGAAAATACAAACTTTATTATGGTTCCACTGTTTATAAGTTTGTGCTCTACGTTCAGTCTTTGTCCTAACTTCCTGTTACAACAGTTTCTTAATGCTTTGTTTCTACAACAAAAGCTCATTTACGCAGCTAAAAGGGGAATTTTACTCCACAGTGCTGCTTTCGTTCGATTCGTTTTCCCCTTTTGTCTAAACTGCTGAAACAATGTTGCAAGTCCCTCATTCAATCAGCCCTATTCATAAAAATTCAACTAACCAAGTACTTTGACTTAATATTCATCTTATCCTGCAGCTACTACTATTTGGTGAACTATATTTTCTACAAACATGGTACTAAGAGTGAACATCGACCAAATAGAACCTGTAACACGCGATTGGATTTGCAAAGTTCAAATTGTCGAAATAGGACGCCCACGAGAAAGCCTTGACAAGAAATGTACATTCCAAAATTTGATTTTGGAAGATGAAGATGTGAGTTCATTATTATCTTTTATGTTACCACTATTGCTTTTTACCTCTCAACTTACTTAATCTCAACTTTGTATAACTCTTACTTTCAGGAATGCCAAATTAAGGCTGTTATGTACGCTGACGAAATTGAGCAGTATGCAGCTACGCTAAAACTCTTCCATACCTACCTGATCTCTACTGCAAAAGTCAAAGTTCCGCCAGCTTCATACGGCAAGCCCATACATAAATTCTACTGGATTCTTGACAAAGAAACAGTTATTGAACAAATCAAACCATCTCATGAAGTTGAAAAACCACTTCCACCGCCAACCAAGCTGAATATCACAACCTTTGACCGCATTCCTTATCTGATGGTTGATTCTGCTGCTGAAATAGGTATATCCACTGTACTAGCTATTATCAGACTAAAATATACATCTGCGCTGCTGCAGAAGACTTGCAACAATTCTTTATATATTACATACGCAGATATACTGGCAATTGTTCTTCGTTGTGGTCCCCAAAAAAACGCCGGTCGCAGTCATCATAGGTGTCGAGAAATTACCCTTTGTGACAATCAGTAAGTACAAGATTTCACATTCTCTTTACCCTTTCTCTGCCAATATTTTGACACATTAACAACTTTTCCGTTTTCTCTGCTCCCACCATCAATTATCGTCTAACCATTATCATAGCACTTTAACAACTTTTTCCCTTTATCTATTCCCACCATCAATTATCGTCTAACCATTATCATAGTACTTACTCTTTTGTCCTTATGTTCTCACACTGTCAGGAAAACTCAGTTTCTGTTCACTCTATGGGAGGATTTCGGAGAAATAGAAGGACATGAAATTGCCTCTAAAATGGCACCAGAGGCAAATCTGCTTGTAATCCTCGGAAGAAGTATAGGAATCTCTACTTATCAAGGTACATATACAGTCAACTTCTTACCAACATAATGTTATACACTAACAAAACAATATACAACTTATATGTTATACAGGGTTGTCACTGCAGACTAGGTAAAATTCCACACTCCGTGTGAATCCTAATTACCCGCAAGCAGTCGCACTCATGAACTGGTACTGACATTTCGTATTTATTCTATAGATTTAAATTGCCTCTAAACAACCTACTAAACATATTATCTGTTGTAACAATAGGGCAAAAGAAAACAAAACAATGTTGTTAAGTTGTCCATCAGATAAAACCTCCACAAGCTCATCTACCGCTCCCATGATAGTCACTACTGCTGGCCAACAACTTCTCTCTATTGCATAAATCTCATCAGCGCCTTCTGTAAGTAATACTTCACGTTGCTCATTTGAGAGTTTCCTCATTCAGTTTCTCATTCTGTAGCTTTGCCTAAATAATCAAAACTGCGCACAGATGGGAGTGTTCTGTGTTGAAGCAGAGATGGCCATATTAGATGAATTCCAAGAATTCTGTGTGCTTGAATGCTCAGGCTGCAAACAGAAGAAGCGCACAAAGGATAGAAAGGATTTTGACTGTCCAAAATGCAATCGGAAAACAACCTTAGTGCCTCGGTACTATACTTTTGAAGTCTAAATTACACTTTCTACAAAATATAGCATATACTATACACATATTTGAAACTTCACTTCATTTCAGTTGTAGCTTCCAACTTGATCTTATTGACAATACTGCTACAACCACAGCATCTATCTCTGCTGAATTAGGAGAAAAAATACTGTCCATGACAGCACAAGACATATTTGACATAACTTGCACTAAGGTTATCTCTCATTCCCACTGACTACTTGAACACACTTATTGTCATAATACCATACATTTTCAGCACAAACAGTGTACCACATATGCTTTGTTCTAAGCTATTTAATCTAACTTGCTATATTTACAGCGACAATCATTGTCTCTTACTCATGTCCATGAGATGTTGTCAAACAAAGTAATCGCAGTTCAGCTAAGGAAATCATCTTGGGCCAGCTCAAATACCACGCATGCAACTTTGTCCATTCTTTCCTACACGGAAAAAGAACATACTTCACAAATCACCACTCATAGGACTTCTAAAAAGATTAAACCTTTGGAAATAAGTGAGGTAGAGGTGATGGCAACAACTACTGCAGCTGGTTCTTCAGATGGCCCGCCAAAATTTGGACCACCCACACCAAGCAAAAAGGTCTAAAAGGTCAGTCTACATCTCCCTTTCACACCAAACTATACCTCAGAATGCTTACCATTTCCACATACTTACAATTAATGCAAAAATTCCTGCTAAAAACCTCTACTTTTGGCTGTGTCATACTTATGTTATAGCACTGCTTTCCCACTTGCTTATACCTCCTTTCAAATATCACAAATTTTTCGTGTTTATATCTGACATAACATTGCAAGGGCTCGCATTAATTCAGGGCTAAAAACTCTGTAATCATGTTCATATCCATGCTCAAGTGAATTCGTTAACATTTTCTTTTTAGTTCCTCATCTCATGTTGACTGTTGAAATAGGTTTTTTTAGTTACAACAATTCACACACTGCATTACTTCACATTTAGCAGCAGTTGTTGTGCACAGTCACAGAAATTTATTACTCCTTCCTATTTCTACTCCTACCAACAGCTCAACTCACATGCAGCCAAACTGCCTTTGAACACTAAAAAACATAATCACAGTCAAACAAATCCTTTTGTCTCCTCTGTGTTAGTGATAGTAGAAAACTCTAGGCTCCTTTTGCTCTTTCCTTAGTGTTTATCAATTCACACTCCAATATAAGCCTATCTACATGTTTTGCTGCATAACTTGCACTGCATACATTCTACATTTCTCTTATTCTACTTCCTTATGATGTCCTACACATTAATACAAACTTATCAGTAGGAAGAATAGGAACGAGGTTTCTGTCTACCAGCAAATCTATAACTTTTATGATGATTCCATGCATTTCTTTCTACTTTATCCCTATATTAAAATAACTTCCCTATCTGTTGCCATAATTGCACTTTCTAACATACTTTAAACTGTGTAATTGCAGGAACTTCCTCACATCGTTTTGTCACTTTTGCTTATGATAGGGACAATATAATCAAGGACTCTCCCTATGCTCTGGTTTATTTCATGAGGAAGGTTAACTGTGGCCAGGCAAACTGCAGTGTCCTCTAAATATGATACTGCAACATGTATATTATTTTTGTTATATTCCATTAGTTAGTATGTGCAAATCGTTCAACTCGACATCATGCTGATGTCTATTGTACATATTCTAAATATTTCTACTAGTACATATTAAAATATATGATATTATCTATCTTCTACAAACGCCCTGACCCTTGATTCATTAATATTACAACACTTTCAGAAGCATAATACTTTGACTATTGGGCCCGTGCTTGCCACGGGCCTCCCTACCCTAGTCTTAATACATGAATCACCGATCAATGTTCAATTAAGGAAAACTAATCACCCCGGTGACAGTATACTTATGCTATTATTAGGTTCTTAAAAGAACAGTAAGATTTATTATATTTGGAAAATATAAACAGAATTTCGTTGAGTTGATTGACCTTACCTTTTGCCTCTTAGGATTTTTTTCTTCAAATCTTCAACTCAATTCTTTGATAGTCTTGTGCTGAATTTTGAAGTTGAGAGTAGAAAATGAATTGTAGAGAAATAAAATAATTATCCTCCAAACCTTAACTCCAATCATGAATCAAATGAGTTAGAGATCTACAATAGGCATAGAATAACTCTCAATGAACTTGAGAATGAGTCGACATAAAAATTAGTTCAAGAACTCAAGTATTAACACAGTATACCTCCACAAATAAATGCAAATGATGAAAATAGAAAAACTTGACAGGAGATGGAAACGAAAAGTGGTTTTTTTTGTGACTGAAAAAAAAAAAGCAATCAGATTGGACATGAACAGAATATGAACACACATAATTTAAAATTTGAAAAGTATTCTAAAACAAGTGAAATTACAATCATAATATGTTTTCACTAAGAGTTCAATTCAACCTAAGCAACCATGAAATTCAACTCGAAAAATGAAAAATTCAAAGAGAACTTAAAAAGACGGAATAAATAATTTTAAAAAATGCAGAAAATGATAGAAAAAAAAAACAAACAGAATGTACTTGTAAGAAGTTGAACGTATGAAGAAAAGTGATAATCTGAAAGTTCCTAAAAAAAACAAACAGAATGAGTATTTTTTGATATTCTGAAAGTTCCTAGAATCAAAGAGACGTCTCTGGTCTCTGTTCAAGTAAGCCATAGAGAATGGATACTTGTAGGTATAATACCTCGATCGTTCTTGGCTTCACTCTCTCTCGAGAGGGTACTCTTTGGTGATGTTTGGATTCATGATTGGAGAAATTTGTGAAGAAAAAAAAGGAAGTTGTATGATTGTCGCTATGGTAAGACACGATGGACATGAAATACCAAAAAGAGTTTATATTTTTGGAGTTTTAAGGAGATCACTTAGACTTTGCCTAGAAAGTGACAGACGAACAATCTGGAATTAAAAAAGAAAAAGGGTTCGTGGTTTGCTAAAAAAATCTCATACATAGTTATCATTTTACCCTTAAATAACAGTTAATGTTTTAAAAAATAGACAAATTGATTTTATCCTCAGCTTGTGGGCTTGTACAAAGCACCAACATAGGACGAAGGTCCAACAGGCAAGAGCCTAGTAACCTTGGGAGCTGGCCTCTTCAATGGTCCTATGCAAGTTCATTTGGGCTTCTTGGGCCAGTACTTTGGAAGAGAAATTTACATAAATATACTATATTAAGAAAATATTTACTGTTTATAATAATAAAATATATATTTTTACTTGATCATTTTTAATACGTTTACAATAGAGTTTTAATGAGAAAAGAACATAAAAAGTCTCTTAACTATAAGAGTAGATCTAAAATAGTCCCTTAACTATACACTTAACTTAACGGATTTAGTCCTTTAACTATTCAAAAATTTATCAGCTTTGGTCCCATAACTATACACTCACCAGTTTTAGTCCCTTAACTATAAACTAATCGATTTTAGTCCTTTAAGTATTTAAAAACTTATCAGGTTTGGTCTTTGTCCTTTTTTTAAATACAAATAGCTTAGGTTTATATTAACTGAAATCTTCATGAAATTAAATTTTTAACCCATTTTTTAAGTTGTTTCTCTATCCCCCGCCCTTCTTTCTTCAAACTACTCTTATGAAAAGAACAATAACGTCAACAATTCAAAATAAAATTAATCAGGAAATAAAATATAAATCCTAATTTTATTCAATGAACGATAAAATTAAGCATATAATTGTTGTTAATGACTTGAATATGCTAATCAATGCTGATTTTATTTAATTTATGTAATTATTGTTAATGACTTGAATATGCTAATCAGTGCGAATTTTATTTAATTCACACAAATTTCTTTACGTAAAATAAAATGAATAGAATAATAAAATTGATCTATTTAAAAAAATTAAAAAATTAAAAATCTACCATTTTATAAATTTCAATCTGAAAATTAAACAAATTTCGTTCAATGAAGTCGTTGGAGTACAAACTTTGGATTTAACGGGTAATATTTTTTTTCTTTTTTATAATAAAGTTTAGCATACTCAAGTCATTAGTAGCAATAATATGCTTCATTTTATTCTATGTTGAATAAAATTATGACTTATATTTCTTTCCTCGTGAATTTTATTTTAAATCGTTGAGGTTAAAGTTCTTCGCATAAGGTTAATTTGAAGAAAAAATAGCGGAAAGAGAGAAACAACAAAAAAAATTGCTAAAGGATTTAATTTCTCGAGATATGGATTCCGTTAATATAAACCTAAACTATTTGTATTAAAAAATGGGCAAAGACCAAACTTGATAAGTTTTTTAATACTTAAAGGACTAAAATTGATAAGTTTATAGTTAAGAGACTAAAACCGGTAAATGTTAGTTAAGGGACCAAAACTGATATGTTTTTAATAGTTAAGGGACCATTTTAGACCACTCTTATAGTTAAGGGACTATTTATGTCATTTTCTCGAGTTTTAATCATATAGAACAATTTATAGAACACATATAATACAAGTTTTATTGATGAATAATATCTTTACACGCATTTTTATATAATGTGTCAATTTCTTATCAAACAAGCATAATATATATTAAACATTTATAATACATATATATTGCATATATAATTTATTTTACAAATTTATCATAATATTGCTATAAATGAAATCACTAAAATTTGTAATTATTTATTAAAACTCTAGCCCCTTGTCAATGCTTCAGATGCAAGCATTGTATATTTATTGTTATATTTTGGTATTTGAAACTCTGGTAAAAAAATATAAACTACAAAACTCCTTGCCAATACGGTAAGGAAAGAAGAAACGAGATTATAATATAATAAATCGAACCGTCACAAATAAGATAGTCAGAGTTATTACACAGTAGGCCTATCTCCTGTGTTGTTTGGTTAAAACAGATATTTCTCCCTTTACCTTAGTGAAGAAGAGTTCACCAAGAATGGCTTCTTCTTCTTCTTCATTGGCACCTCTATCTTTCTCCCTTTCCTCCGAATTGCTTCCATCCGGGTCATCACGCAAACCCAATTCCCTTTCATGGTCTTCTTCATTTCCCCAACTCAAAATTTCTGCTTCTTCAATTCCCTGCCTTTCAAATCTCTCTTTCTACAAGGTATATCTCTTCAGCTCTTTCAACAATTTTAGTTTATTTTTTAGAGAATCTTTCGCACTGTAACTTCTACTTTAATTCTGTCAATTTCTTGCCCTAATTTGATTTAATCTGCATACACATTTCGTCTTTTTTTTTTTTTTTTTTTGTGTGTGTGTTATTGACTCTGGATAGTAACTAGGTCAAAAAAAAAATGTGAAAGAGGGAAAAATAGTTGGTGATATTTCTGCTTAACTGCAGTGTATGTTTCCACCTTATCTGATTGTGAAAAACTGTGATATTAGAAAGGAAATTCAGCTGAAATGATAGTGTTCCTTTTGAAAGACTGGATTTTTATGAGATTTAAGGGTCAATTTGAGGAATTCTGAAGCAAAGCTCATATGACACAAATGTTGATTTTCAAAATAGAGATTGACCATTGTGGTTTCTAAGTTTTTGATTGAACAGCTACCTCTCTTGGGGAAGGGGAAAGAGAAGGTTGTCGAAGTGAGGACGTAAAGATGGGCAAAGGGATTGTACAAACAGTTGCTAAATATGTTCCTTCTTTTCAACATTGCTATTTGCACTCTTAAGAGTCTGAATATCTTTACATGATTGTAGTTAAGTAGAGAGTGCTGGATGAAGTTCCTGACCTGTGTAAATATTGTTAGACGAGAACTGGAATGTATCTGCTTAATCATTAAGGCCTTTTTAAATTGTAACTCAATGCTCACTGCTGCTTTAGAGTGTATCTTGATATAAGGTTAGCTCGATTGACTAGTGTTGCATTTACATTTTAGCTCTTAACATAAAAGTTTCTCATATTTTTTTCCTTCAGAATTGGAGAACAGTTTTAGGATAGAGTTAGTACATACCAAGAACGAGATAGAACTTCCAAAGAAAAATGGCTCTTAGTTTTCTCACCAAGAGTTATTTGTAGAGAAACCTTGTTGTAGTTTCATTCACTATCTCACCTTCTTTACCTGCAATTATTCTCCTGAAAGCAATATTCACATGCGGAGATTTCTTATATCTGTATTGCTTGGCTTGTTTATATGTTGTTTTTGTTACTTAATTATTAAACAGATGTGCTGATTTATGGGAAGTATCTTCTAGAATTGGGCATATGTGATGTACAGTGATTGGTAATGTGAGTGAAATTTGAATATGTAGTTGACTTCAAAATCGTATCCATTGTGTTTCTTCATTGCTTACCCGATAGCATAGCTGCCTCAGCTTACTTTTTTTGCTGCAAGTACATATCTTTTTTACTTAGAAGACAATTATTTTGTTTGATATTATAAAGAGTTTAGGAGACAAGATTCTTTCAAGTTGGGAAACTTTTAATCTATGAAAGAAGTCATCATTTTGCTCGAATAAGATCCCTGCTCTACGAAGAGATAAGAGTTTGGATCAAAATAGGAGGTATTCATATACCGTACAATTTCTGCATGTATAGCGTCTTCCGACATGTTTATATCCTAGCTTAGCATGGATAACAGATTAGAAACTGCAGCATGGGTAACTGTTTCATGCGGATTTAAGAATGTACTTGCTCATTTTATTTTATTTTTGTAGAAATTTGTCATTGAGGCTGCATGGACAAGAAGATCTCGGAGTGAAGCTGCAAAGAAGCCCAACAGGAAATCATGGAAACAAAGGACAGATATGTATTTGAGACCTTTTTTACTAAATGTTTTCTTTTCAAAACGATTTATCCATGCCAAAGTCATGCATCGAGGAACCAGCAAGGTGATATCTGTTGCTACCACAAACTCGAGAGACTTGAGGAACACATTGCCATCACTTACTGATAACGATGCTGCTAGGGTAATAGGCAAATTGATTGCAGAGCGATCAAAAGAAGCTGATGTCTATGCCATTGCATATGAACCTGGGAAGAACGAACGAATAGAAGGCAGACTTGGGATTATTCTTGATACTATACAACAAAATGGCATCATATTTGTTTAAAAATTTCACCTTGTGTACTTTTTACTTGCAACTAGCTATATTAGTTATTTTCAGTATCAGTAATTACCAACTATTAGAACATATACGTTTTCTTCTGCATTCTTCCGAGCTCGTCTTTGTAGCATATGATAATGTTACTTGCCAAAAAGATTGTTCTGTTACTGTGGTCCTGTCTTCTTGGAAGGCTCTGACAAGAGCAAGATAGGACATTGTCCTTAAATTTGTGCAAATGGATAGCCAAATAATAATTATTAGTACTACTGAGTTTCAAGGATTTGTTCGTTATAGAAAGGGAGAAACTCTTGTAATATTATTTATCAGATATCAGAATCGATAATGATAACAATACAGAGACAATAAGCCAATAATACAACATTGTGTTTCCTTCAAAAGAAACAAAAAAATAGAGGGGAAAAACAAAGAGAAAATTTTGCATAAACTCGTATAAAAAAAGTAGAATCTATAAAGATACATCGTTTTGCTGAAGACACATAGCAAGCACCAATATTCAAACAATACTGATATACCTGGAGAGAGAAATGACAGAAGAAAAGGTTAGTTAACACTTAACAGTAAAATCAATTCACAGCAGCAGAAACAGATGCACACATTAACGCAAGCCCAAGTTTAGGGTTCTCAATTACCATAACAATTAATCCTGATGCCTCTCTACTAATGAATTCTCAGGCCGCAACCTGTTACATAAAAGAAAAATATGTATAAAATAACAAGAAAAAGGAAATAAAGGATATGCACAACCAAAATATAGTTATTTAGACAAACAAATAAAGACGATGGCATAATGGAAAGACAGAATATATGCCCATACCAATCAATTGGTAATAGAAGAGATTTTTATGACTGCACAAAGTTAGAGAACTTCTAGTACTTTAAGTTTTATTTTGTATAAATGCTGGTGTGAGATGAATTTTAATTGGATTAATATGGTTAATGAGGATTCATATAGTCAACCCCAACTTATTATGGATTGAGGCCTAATTGTTCTGAAGATCAGCTCATATTATGAGCTCAATTAGCAAGCCAACCACAGTGAATCATCATATCAATCATTCTGGCATATTATTATGGAGACAATTCTCCTGGATAAGGCAAAATTTAGGAGCAACTCTAACCATATCAATCATGATAAATAAAAATAATGCTCCATGAACTCAAAATATATGCAGAAATTGTTTGAATTGTAAGGCAAACAAGTTCACAGGATTCTCAACACCAAGTGTTAATTTACTGATCTCATAATGTAGAACAGATCTAGCTATGCATAAGCCCTAACATTTACCTCCCAATTACATTACACATGCCAGCTATCCTTTTCCATGCAAGTTACTAGGTCTTAATATCCTTGAAACATTCACTAAACCATCGTTAATACTTTACCTTCTCATTAGCTGGGGTAAAAACAGCTTTAACGGCTTCAAATACTTCTCCAACGGGCTTTACAGCATCAATCTGAAGGCAAAAAAGATGTCGACTTCTGTTTAATATGCACAGTCTCTCTCTCTAGAGTGGAGGGGAGGAAGATGGTAAAGAGGCTGCAAGATAAAACAGTACCTTTCGAACCTTCCCCTTGGAGTTGTAATATTCAATAACAGGTAGACTAGATTCCATGTAAACGTTGAATCGCTTCCTTATTGTTTCAATATTATCATCTTCTCTTCCCTAAAGAACGAAAATTTCAAAGTTAATGAGAAGAAAATCAATCACAATACTAGAAAAGAAGATTAACAAAGAAGAAACAAGAATACCATAAAGGTTTGAAGAACTGTAAACATGACAAGAAGTCTTCTACCAAGATATAATATGTCTAACCTGGTTCCGACCTAAAAGGCGTTTCTCCATCTCTGCTTCAGGACAATCAAAGAAGAGCACAAACTCAGGCTCAATTCCAGTCTGGGAGACAATAAAATGTGAAAGTCAAATTTTAACAACTCTTAATAAATAGGAGAATTATCAAGATGCAGCTAAAAAAGAGTGGTGTACTGAGGAACTCACGACCAACTCAAAAGCAGCACGGTTCTCCTCATTCCGGGGGAAACCATCAATAAGAAATTTGTCATTGCCATTTTCCTGAATTGCTCGTTGGAGAAGCTTAATTGTTACCTCTGATGGAACAATTTTCCCTTCTTTAATCATGTTCGAAATCATCGTCCTGTACATTCAAAAGCACAGTACTGAGGATTAATCCTTTGTGTGCAATATTGCTTGAAGCTATTGAACAAAACTCAAAGAGAATGATGCAACTTAGCAAACAGCTGTTGATCTACTACACAGAATGTTGGTTGAAATGACAAAGGGTAAAAAGTAGGGAGAAAGATAAAACAACACACAATCAAAACAAGATATCCTACCCATTCTCGGAACCAGATTTTATTTCTGCTCGGAGAAGATCACCAGCACTTAGATGGGTGTACCCAAAGTGTTCAACAATATTAGTACATTGGGTGCCCTTACCACTGCCTGGGCCACCTGTCCAAGTTAATAGAGGAAACAAATCTTAGAACAGGACAAAAATCTAATATCAATGGTACAGATTGCATCAACAAATATGCTATGTACAATGAGGATGTGTATTTGATCCACAAATCCGCACAGGTGGCATCCCCATAATAGGATATTTCCTAATAATTGTTTTATTCACAATGCCCAAACATAAAAAATCTTTTTTGAGTGAGTTAGATAAAGAAGCAGAGCAATTAGCTTAAGAGTATATTAAGTTTTATGGTGAAATAGATATACCTCCTTCAATTTTTCTCAAGTAACCCTCACAAGTCATTACTACAAAACCCTCCTTCTGTCAACTTTAATCACAAAGATGAAGCCCCGTTACTTCAGAAAATCAATTCTACCATCACAATTTAAACTGGAGTCAAATTTTTTCCAACCAGTCCAATCTGATCTGACTTTTACACAATATAGCTTCTTGTTTCATTTTGATTAAAATTGGATGTAAATTCCCTAAGGATCCTTAGGGTCATCCAGGCAATAGTTTATTGATACAATAAATGGGTTTGGGCAGTTTCAACCAAAGAAGCTATAGTTACGGCGTCAAACCCTAAAAAGTTAGACATGTAGACTGCCAAGAGCTGCATTTTAATTGGTATTAGTGGTAGCACTAACTGAACATGTAGATCAGATAACATATGATGGCAAACATATATTGTCCAACAAGTTCCACCTCTAATCCTCACAATTACATACAGGGACAAAATACTTTGCCATACTATGAGGTGCCGTATCGAGAATGGCACAAGATCATGCAATGTTGGTGTTGAAAAACTCACCTAGAACAAAAATAACAGTGACCTTCTTGTTGGTTGGCAGGCTTACTGCTCCCTGCAATTCATTATTAAGAAGATATCAAATTAAGGAGAATGTGGCATCCGCGTGACACTGCAGGAGCAGAAATCATGGATAATTATACTATTTATTAAGAGTGGAGGTGGTAATTTATGTAGGGGAGGAGTTTTTTATATTCAACAATAATGTTCTTATGATAATAGAATTAATGCCTAGCAAGAAGAATTCATAGAACGATATGAGAACTTTTATACATAAAGAACTTCAGGGAGGAGAATGGGAGTTGGACCCTTATTTCCGTTCTTTCTTGGTGTTGCTGTTGGTACATGCATCCTGCAAATCTAGAAAATCGGTATCTAATTTCACAGTGCAATTGTTGTAGCCCCATATGTTGTAAGACTAAGACACCAGAACTGGATACCACAACTCCACTATTTAAAGTCTTTAAAATCTCATAACATTTTCTGCAGGTTTTTTTAATTATAGTAGAACTTCTTTTTGCTTTGACAATAGAGAAATTAGTGAAAGCTTAAAGGTCAAGCATCCCTCCAATAATGCCGTCCAGTGTAGAAAGCATTTCACTTTTGTTTAGATTCCAGATGCTTAGACCATACGAAAATGAGAACTCATTCACAAAGGGAGTGGACACCAATAATCAAGGTAATAAGAATATTCTCTGGATATATGAAGCACATTTAGTTGTAAAGAAAGCTACCTGGTTAGCAGACTCGACAACAGTCCCCATGGATTTCTGGTAATTTGGTCTTACAAAATTGTCTGCAGAAAGACAGACTCAATCAATTACTCAGGAATGTTGACACTAAAAATAAAGGAAGGGAGACTGAACATCTAGAAGGAAAAGACTTGCACTTTCAGAGATCAGATGCTGGAATCTTCACTTAATATATTCCAGCTTCAGATCACATAAGAAAAATGAACATGTTCACATTAATAAGCTTCAGATATTATAACTGCTAGAGTCAAAAACAGAATCTTCATGTCTCCAGAAAATGTACATTACAAAGCTTGAAGCAACACTTTTAATCTAAAGTATAAAACATCAATCTTCATAATAGATGACAATAAAAAGCAAAAAAGCCAGAACCCAGGTATTTACATGCACCCGCCCCGCTTTATCATTAATTTATTCCTTCCCACATACATTCCCAAGTACCAGCCTAAACTATTCCCAAGCCTCGATACTATCCTAAAACAGTAGAAATTTTCCAGCAACACTCCACCATTGAAATTGAAAGAGATCAACACAAGTTAAACAAAAACCCACAAGTATCAAAAAAATAATAATCAAATCTTTAAACGAGAAACAATAAATCTGTCGGTGCAAAATTGAGCAGCGCAAACCAGATGAAATTGCATGAGATCTGTTCAACCATAAACAAATTCCTAATCAGATCAAATCAAAACTAGCTCCAAAATACAAAATCAAATCTCAAGAATTCCAAAACAAAGAAACAAAATTCGGGTCAGATCGGAGCAAAGAAAATGCAGTAAATTGAAGAATGCAATGTATGAAATTGAGGAGATGAATGAAAAAGCGTAGATCGGGAAGAGAGAAAGAGAGAAATCAAGATCTGAAGCTTACCAAAGATAGAAGAATGGTGATTTGTTGAGGTACAAAAAGGGAGGGAATGGTAATGTGAAGAGCTCGCGAGGCTCTTTGAGATATATTTATAGGCCTCGACCCAAATTTGGGAGAACCATTTTGAACGGTAAACTCTTCCCTTTTTCCTTTCGCACTCCACACGTTGCGTTGAATGGTTACTCTTTTTTTCCTTTTTCACTTTATAGTGAATTGACTAGCTTAACAATTTTGGACGTTTGGGCATGTGATTTGAAATTATAATTTTAATTATATGTTTAGATACATAATTTAAGAACATCATTTCAAATTCTCGTTATTTAACAAGTTTAGAGATCTCAAAACTTTTTAAAATGTAAAACTTAACTTATAAATTTATATTTTGTAAAGAAAATACTGATGATCGATCTAAAGAGTGAAATTGTCCATACCTCGTGAAAGAATTATATTAAACGAAAAACTAGTGCAAATGTTTACATTAAGAATTATATTAAAAGAAAAAATAGTGCAAATGTTTACATTAAGAATTATATTACAAGAAATTTTATAAAATTATGTGTATTTGAAAGTTTGTAATTGTAAATGTTTATTTATAAAAGGATCATGGAATAAACGATTTATCTATGTGGCTCCTTAGGATAATCCAGTATATCTTGATTATGAACTATAGTTTGCTTATTTGATAAGATTATATTAGATTTGAGGTAATTTTGATAGTTTTCATAACTTACGGGGTTTTCAGATTTATGAAGAAAAAAAATACGAACTTAAAATATAAAAAATGAAAAATTGCATGTAACTTCAAATTAGTTTGATTTCAAATAATGCCCCTGTTATCCGCTTTTAATCCGAAAGTGCACTAAAAAAATTTAATCTTTTCTTTTAACCATGTACATCATTTTTGGCATAAATTAAGAAAGAATGGACATATTCAATTTTAGATAGGATTGTTTATTTGTTTATATTTTGGAATCATACGAAAAAGAATTTAATTGTTTGTACGAGAATTAGAGCTAGAAATAAGAAAATAAATGTGTGACTTGTTTATGCTCATGGCTGGTTGATAGCTACTTTACACTTGTTTTTTCTATTTGTTTTCTTCTTTTTGGCAAACTAATTAATTAAAGATATGACAATATTTTTAATGGTACGTGGAGAAAGAGCTGGTTTGTTTTTTTTAGCTAAATTCCATAGCTTGGTTTTTTAGACTAAAGATTGTTGACATGGTGATTTGCAAGGAGATGTTGTTTGCGCTTAATAAAGAGTTAAATTTTAATTATTTATATTTTTATATATGAATAGACATCAAATATTAATATTTTTCGTTTTACTTAAAATATATGGACTTAAAGTTGAAGATGAATTGTGTTTAGTCATGCTAGTCGTAAAAAAATATTTGTAAATATGTACTTAAAGTTCATAATTGAAGTTCATAGAACTACAAACACAATTTTTACATAAGCCGATCTATATAAAAGCGTAAAAATGTGTATAAGCACCTCTTATACACTTCTATACATACAATATCTACAGTAAAATATCGTATGTATAAGTATTGCTGTGAAAAAAAAAGAAGAGGCTATTCATATAGACCGTATATTTTTGTAAAAATCTTCAATTAGAATACAAATGCACTCAAAAGAAAGAATGTGAATAGAAAAAAACTAATTAGAAGGTTGGTATAATAAATGATTATGATTGTGGTACTTCACCCTTAAGCCTTGTTTTCATCAGAATTACAAATTTTCCATTAGCCCATTTTCAAGGTTGGTCTCATGTCAGGGTTAGGCCTCGAGTCGACATCGGGTCCCTAGTCATGGCTGGGTCAGTTGTTGGGTCCCAGGTTAGGCTTAGGCCAGGGTTGGGTTGGATTTCGAGTCGGAGTCGAAGCAAGGGTTCCTGTTTAAGGGCAGGTCCTGATCCAAATGTCATAGTATTTGTCACCATTATACCTAAATATTCCTGGAATAATATTTTCTCCTTACTAATAAAACACTCAAAAACAAGTAAAAATCCACTTATTTTTTCAGAAAAATATTTTCATTTTTACCAAACACACCCAAAGTGTGTATACTTTATCCTCCTTAGGATCTACCGTTAAAATGTCTCGATTTCAAGATTGAAATACTTTTGACATTTTTTTTCCAAATTAACAAAATATTTTAAATGTTACATATAAGAAAATAATAGAAGTTTTTTTTGTGACAGAAGAAAAGGTCAAAAGAGTACTTGTCAAGACACCAATCTAAAAGTTCAAATGCTAACTTTCTAGTAAAGCAAATTCGAAAGTTCAGTGGAACGCTTAAAAAACCATCAAAGTTGATATTTTTATGCTAGCTAACATGCTTTCATGTTATAAAAGCTTTTTTTTAAAAAAAAAAATCTAAAATAAATTCTTTTCCATATTGGAGTAAAATAAAAATTCGAAAGGGTCTTTATCACAAATTCCTGAAATAACACGCACCCTGTTAGCATATGAAACTTACGTTCAAAAGAATATGATAGCAGATAGAATATTCTTGCTCTTTTACCGATCAAAAAATATTCTTACTTTTTTGTAATTATAATAATAGTGTACTGGCCAGCTTGCTGTACCTTTACTATTTCATTGGGTAAATGTTATCTTCTACCACCTGATATATATATATATATATATATATATATCAGGTTAATCAGCCGGCCATCAAAGCTTAGGCAGATGAAAAAAATATCATCTAGTGTATCTTGCCTTCACTATAAATTTAAATTTGAGAATCATAGTTTGCTTCACTTCATTGATTACTAGATCACACCCATGATTGTTGGAATATTCTTGAAATTTTTTCTTTTGATGAACGTGGTGTCTGCAGTGGCGTAGCCACATGGTGGTTAGGGTCGTCGGAAAAAATAGCAAAATTATACACGAAATGATTAAATAACATAATTTGGACACTCTAAACATAACAAGCTATTATAGTCCAGTGGTTTCACTTCCTTGGAATGAGAAAGTGCTCGTGTGTTCGGATTTATTGTGCTATTTCTGGACACCCTTTATGGAATTCCTGGCTCCGCCATTGGGTGTCCGAGCCAAAGCACCTCAACTAATTCCACAGGATATCCGTCACCTCCCACCAGCAAAATTTCAAATCCTTGTAGATCACTTCTCTTGTTGATTTGCTATATACTAGCACTCCACTTTTACCTAACTGTTTCTCTATTGGGGAATGCTGGAAAAATGACCAGCTGACATTAGAATTTGGTTAAATACCAGATTGCCAAGTAGAACTTTTCAATTCAACTTTAATCTCTTATGAAACTTATACTCATTTTATTTAAAACTTGTCATGGTTTTCTTTATAATGTAGATTTCTAAGTATGACATTGGACAGTACAAAAATTCTTGATTTTTATAGTTTATCACATGCTTTTCTTATATCTCAACGCAGGAAAATTTTAAACTATTGAACAGAAATGAGAAGTCATGATTTACAAATAAACTATATTTCAATCTCAAATTACTGGAGAAGCTATACAACTTCATTCAGAAGCAAAAAATGTATAACTTTCCGTCTAATGCATATGAAAATGCAATAACGAGCTTTGAGTTTCATAAACTAATCAACAAACTATAACGTGATATACAGTACCTAGGTTCTGAGAGGACTCCCAACGGAGTTGCTGAAATTACAGTCATACCTTCAGTCTGGATAATGATCTTGATCCCTTTCTATGAAGCTTACTGATTCACATGTATGCATGGAACTACGACCTTAGCTCTGCAAACCTCTGTCTCACGGCATTGGCAAGTTTCCACTCACCAATACTTGTCAGGCCTTCAACAACCTTTTGCCTTGACCTTATGTATGGTATAAAGCCTCTCTTGGTCATTTCTATCACAAACTTTCCAGCCAAAATAAACTGCCGACTCTCTAAGCACCCTTCAAGCACTGACTGGTAGCACTCGAATCCAATATGCACACCCTCATTTGTTAAGAACTCAATTACTTCAATTGCTCTCCTTATCTCTTTGTTAGCCAGTATTGCTGCCAAAGCTTTCACCAAAGTTTCTTTTCTGGGGCTCAAGCCAAATATGGCAACCATTTCATTCAATGTCTTTATGATAGCGGACGTCATTCTTAGCTCGGACAAGTTGTCAATTAAAGAACCATAACAATCCAAATCCGGACTACAACCAGCACGGCCCATGCCCTTCAATACATTAACTGCTTCATCTATCTGATCAACCTTACAAAGCGATGAGATTAGGTAACTGCAAGTGCCACAATCAGGTGCATATCCAATATCCTGCATTTCCAACAATATGCTTGAAACAGAATAGGATTTACTCCGACGTTCAATCCATGCAGTGGAGAGTAGGAGGTGAGTTTGAGGTACTGGAATGCAGCCAGAGCGAAGGGTACGCTGGAGAATGGCAAGAGCAAGTGGGAGAGGATTTGAGCTTAGGAGACTGTAGGAAAGGAGACAGGAATATGCAATTTGAGGGCGATAACGAGGCCTGATCGGAGTAAAAGACTGTAAAATTTCGTCAACAATTTTGACACTTGTGTTTTCAGGGAAGGAGGATAAAAATGAAAAGGGGTTTGGACTGCGGTGAAACCCTTCAGAAGAGCTTAGAATATCAGGAATCTGTTCATATCTTTTATCTTCCACCACAGCTTTAATGGATTCTTCAAGCATTCTTGCTGAAGAGATAAAAGAACGACAAAGAGGACGAACAGAGAAGTGTAGCTTTGCAACAGCCATCACCCTATCCAGGTTCTTCTTATTTTCCTCTCAAATGTAAATAAAATTAGTCGAGCTGCACATAAACTGATCAAACACGAAAGCTGATTTTTTATATTTTTTTAATTGGAATGAACAGCTTAGTGTTGGCTCAGAATGCTTGAATTACCTACACCTGCAGAAGGGGTTTGCAGCAATTGGACACATGATATAGCAAAAAGAATGAAGAGCAGAAAATATGTGACAATATTCATTGTGGCATAACATCAAACAGGGAACAGGCATAAAATGGGACAAAAATAATAAACTTCATTTTCTCCTGGGAAAGATTCAAATACATACAAATTCAACATTCTATCAAGTGGAAAAAGGAGAAAAGTAATACCTGATCTGATTATTAACACTATCACGCATCCGTATTCTTCTGCAATTTTTTTTGCCTCTTCTTCGGTTTCCAAACATTTTACAACTTTTATAATTACTTTACTATGAGGTGTTGTTATTATTCTCCTAATTATTTTGTTTATATTTTCAAATCACGATTCAATTTAATCAATAACGTTATATTCAATTAAAAGATGCAACTCACGTAAAAGAGTGCGTACACACATTGTGTTTTTCAAATTAAAGAGGGGATAATTTAGATGTGTTTCTCACTGTTTCAATAGTTTGGATATGAAACTCAAAAAAAGTTATACTTTAGGTGTGTTTTAAACACTTTCATTATGTACTCTCGAATATTTTATTTTTATGTTCTACATTTAAGATTACAGCTTTTTAAAATGTAATGAATATTACTATTGTATAAAGTTCTCTTAAAGTTCATATTATACAATGAATTAGCTAAATGAAAAAAAATATTACTGTCGTATAATTTATATAATATCCTTTTTTTCATCTTTCAATAATTATTGCAGATATACAATTTATATGAGTTTGTAGACTAAATAATTGTCTGAGGAGTATTACTTTCATCTTTCAACCCCTATTTTTTTTGTATGAATCCTTTCTCTTTTGCAAGTTTACCCATTGTGAAACTACGTGTAATTGCACTTAGCACTTATATTCATTACATAATGACTTTCGTTAGTGATCATAATTCATTGTATTGATGATAAATTATCAGAGCTCTGATAATAAAAGAAAAAAAAACTAAATAAGTGAAAGTAAATTGAATCTTCATAATTAAATACTTAAATTTGTATAAAGTTAAACAAATATATATACGAATTATACGTCACAATAATTCGAAGACACAAAACTGATAATTCCTTCAAGTTCTGAATTTCTGGCATCTTTTTTGACTTTTTTCCAAGTGTAATACCGAAAAAAATATAGTTACTATATTAAAAAAATCCACCTAGTTTAAGCAACATGAATAATATAGTAATAATTAGTTTAGAAAGATAAAAATACAAAAAGAGAAGAAAAATCAACAAACTTAACAGAAGATTCATCATCTCAATAGTATGCTGTAAGAAATGGCCACAAGAGCCAAAATGTATAGCAACTGCAGTGGCGGAAATGAGGATGCTCTGTAACTATCAGCAAAGTTTATTTCTCTGCCCCCAGCTGCAAAATTCAACATAAACACACTGTTAATGTCTAGAAATCTGAATCATGGTTACTCCATGTCAAATCACGTTATGGGTTCAGCTTCATCAAATTTAGATCGCATAAATTATTTGAGTGAAGAAGTTATGTCTCACTTACCACAATCTCTAGTAGAATTACTAGTGCTTGAGCAAATGCACTGCGCCATCTCAGTCTCTACATCAAATCCACAAGTCCCACCAGATTTAGCGCACCGGGCACATCCAGTGTCCGGCACGCTAAATGACAATTTCATCCCATAAAGCCAATCCAACGGCCCAACACCTTCCAATCTATCCGTATTATAAACACTCGTATAATGCGTGCAATCCAATATATCCATACTCATATACTTCACCGTTTCATAACCCGTGAAACAACACGCCGGCGTACTGTTAGATAGTAAATGAAACAACTTAAACGAAGTGCACGAACCGTAGAGTTCGTCACACGAATGACCGGAGAAATTAAAACAGAGCGACTTGTAATGATTAAGTACAGGGGAATCAATGGAGCAATTGACGAGGATGAAGACCGTGTCAGGCGTAGGCGGGATTATAGCTGATTGAATTTCTGACATTTTGAAGTCGTGGTGAGGTTGTAGGATTGAACAAGTAGACATTGAAGGATCGAAGATCGTCATGGTTTGCTTTTCGTAGTCGATTGATTGGACTTTGTAATTTCCTGATGGTGTTAGGAAGAATAAATCAGTAGCGGAACAATTCAGCATGTGACGATACTGTGGCGCGCCACAGCCATCGTCAATGCTGAACGGGTAGTTTATGGGAATGTTGTTACAGAAATTGCGACAAGTTGAGTGAATTTGTGGGGATTGTGATAGTAGCAACAGAATGAGGTATATTGTTAGATGATTGAACGTGAGAAAGAATGATTTTGAGTTAGCCATTGGAAAGGGAGTTTAATTTGTTGTGAAAGGTTTTAGATTTGCACACGCAGATTTCAACGAGTAACTTTTATTTTCACACGCAAATTTCAAAGATTTTGCAGAAAGCAAATGGCGAGCAGCTGTCCGCAATTGTCTCCTATTAACAATTGATTTTTTGACCGTTGGCTCGCCGTTTCACTGTCTTTTACAGGGCTCCACACTGGAAAAAATCAGTATTCGATGATGAAGGAATGAAGAATTCTTTTTTCTTATTTAAGGGAAAAGAATAATACATAACCACTTTCAATTTCATTAGCATATTCATCGATTTCCAATCAACGCTTCTTAGTCGAGCTTGTTGCACGACTAGTTATCTAGTATGGTACACATTTTCTATGTGATTTACAAGTTATCGAACAAGAGCTATTAGCTCAGCGTGCACTCGAAGAGAATCAATAATGAAACTTTCGTGGAATACCAAAAAAGCAGGAAGGTAAATGTAATTTTTTAAAAAAGGTAACGCATATGACAAGCTAGCAAAAGGACCAAGCAATTAGATATACAGGAGTAGAAAGAAAATGAAGCAATCAAAAGTAGCAGTAGTTTATCATAATGTCTCCTAAAGAAACATCATATTGGAGCTCAAAGTCAAAGGAGTCGGATAATACACAAACACATTTAGGACTCGTTTGGTGTGAGGGATTAGAAATAATAGTGATGGGATAAGGAAATAGTGATGGGATAAAAAAATTATGTTGTTTGGTTGGCAAGTCCGGGATAACTTATCCCGGGATTAATAATTAGTACCGGGATAAGTTATCCCTCCCCATGGGTGGTATAGTAATTCCGGGATAACTTATCCCGAGATAAAATAGATAAATGACAAATATGTCCCTTTAAATCCTTTTTATACATCATTTTTCACATTTATGTATATTTACATTTTTTTTAATACCATATATAAAAATATTTACTACTCCTTATTTTTATGATAATTATACAACGTGCCCGCGCGTTGCGCGGATGATTTAAAATGTAATAATTTTATAATTAAAAATATCTAATAAAATATTATATAGCTTTTAATTTTTTTTATTATATATATATATATTATGTTGAATTCTTTTAAGGATAATCAAACATCAAATACTTCAAATAATTTTACGTGTCTATACTTTATTCTTTTTATGTCATTTGAATAAAAAAACTATGTTCATAATTTATTAATTCTAAGTAACTACACTAACACTTAAAATATATATCTCAATTTAAAAATAAATAAATCAATTTAATCCCGTGGGAGATAAAATAGACCTTGTAATTGTTATATTGAAGTAGTTGCTAATTTCCTATAAAATAGATTTAAGAAAAGTGTGATCTAATTTTTTAGTGATATCTATAATTTTGAGTTTGTAATGTTTTATTTTTCAATTTACAAATTAAAATACTTTGAATTATGAAACTTTTAAAAGGAAAAAGTAGTATTGAAATGAAAATAAATATGAGTAGGAAAGTATGGCACAAATTTAGTACACATATCATACTATATATTTAAGAAAAAGAATAGTTTGGGATGCGAACGTAACTGACATTTAAGAAAAGTCCGGAACTTAAATAGGCCACAATAAAAAGACCAAAATAAGTCACTATTCTAGTAAGTAATTAAAATAGGCTTAGTGTAAGAAAAATTTCCGTTTTATCCAATGTTTCAAATGTTTTCCGTTAGTCTCTTAACGTGAATATTTTAATAAAAATGGAATTATTCTTTACACTTTGTAAAGTGGAAGAAAAAAATATATTTTACAAAGAGGAATATATTTCCCGTTTTAAATTAAATTGTCTCTCTTTATGAAGTTTTTGCGGTGTTTGTCATACAATTATATTAATTTGACATATCATAAAAACGGAAAAAATTATTACACTATGTATTTTTTTAATTCTAAAAACTACTCCAAGCTCTATTTAAGGACGTTCAAACATTGCCCTTCAACATCTTTAGTCTTCTATTTTTCTTCATTTCAATCACAAAAAAATGTCTTCTGAACCAAAAGTTAGAGTTTCGATTTATTCAGATGACAAAATTATACATGACGAAAATATTGTTTATTATAATTGTCCTCCCAAACACAATGCTAAATATTCAATTAATGCCCGATATCATAAATTTCTTTCATCATTTTATAAAAGAATAGGTATAAATAATATTGATTATAATATGATTAAAGTCAAAAAAATACCCTACTTCATTTTTATCATAAGGACATGTAAATTTTGGAGAGTGGATTATCTATAATGACGAATCGTTGACCAACTTTTTGAGGGTTCTAAATGACTACATAGATCAAATCAAGTTAACAATACTTGAAATTTATGTTAGGAAGGAGCCTAAGACTAGTCAACAACGTTCTCCTATAACAATACTTGAAAAATACTCCTCTTTGTAAAAATATAATTTTTTTCTTCCACTTTATAAAGTGTAAGAAAAACTTACACTTTACAAAGTGTAAAAAATAGTTCCGTTTTATATTAAAATATACATGTTAAGAGACTAACGGAAAATGTTTGGATTATTGGATAAAACAAATTTTTTTCTTACACTAAGCCTATTTTAGTTACTTACTAGGATAGTGGCTTATTTTGGTCACTTTTATCTTTTTGTGGCTTATTTAGGTTCCGGACTCATTTAAGAACAACATATCGCCTCGTTTGATAGATAGAGTGTATAAGAATAATAGTAAATAAAGTATATTAGTAATATTTGTATTAGTAATGTTTGTACTAATAATACTTATATTAATTACATTGTTTAATCATTGTATTAAAAATATCTTGCATGAGAAAAAAAATTATTTACAAAAATACCCTTCATAATTATGCTGGAAAAGATGTAAAAAAGATTTTTGAGGGGTAATATGGTGTTTAACTATGTTAATGCCTGCATTAAAACCCCCTGCATTACTAATACAAAAATATTTCATGTATTAATCACACACACATCAATACACACTAGAGTAAAATATTAGTTATACATACATATATCATAATATATCAGAAATGGGAGATGGAAGATGGCTCGAGAGGGATTTGTAGTTATTAATCAATCTAATGTGTGTATTAAAATAAGGGAAAGGTTCAAATATGTCATCGAACTTTGGAAAAAGGCTGATCTATGTCATCCGTTAAAAATTTGGCTCACTATGTCATTTCCATTTAAGAAAAGGCTCACCCATGCCATTATTTGTTAATAGAAAACAATTTGATTATGCAAATTCATTTTTTACATGTGATCAATTATGATTCGGCCATGTCATTAATTAAATTATTTTCTTTAAAAAAAAGGCTCAAATACGCTATCAAACTTTGAGAAAAGGTTCATCTATGTCATATGTTAAAAGTTTGGCTCATCATTTCCATTTGAGAAAAGACGCATCCATACTATTATTTGTTAATAGAAAATGATTTCGATTTTGCAAATTCATTTTTTACATGTGGTCAACTATGATTTTGGCCACATCATTATTTATTTATTTTTTAAAAGAAAAAAAGACCAAATATGTCATCGAACTTTGAAAAAAGGCTCATTTATGTCATTCGTTAAAAATTTAGCTCGTCTATGCCATTTCAATTAACAAATATAGCATGGACAAACCTTTTCTCAAACATAAATAATATAGATGACTCAAATTTTTATCGGACTACATAAATGACCCTTTTATCTCAAAATTTAATACTAGCATATTTGAGCCTTCTCCTAATACAATGCATTATTATATTATATTATAGACTAAAAAAGTGTAGGAAGGTACTAATATTACAAGTTCACAACCCAGTCTTACCTGTTAATTGATGGAAAAAAGAAGGTGGTAAGTTACCTTAACACTGTTACTCTGTCCCAATTTATGTGATTTACTTTCCTTTTTAGTCAGTCCCAAAAAGAATGACACATTTCTATATTAAGTAACAATTTGACTATAAAATGTCTATTTTATTCTTAATGAAATGATTTACAGCCACACAAATTTCTATCTTTCATTTTGGACCACAAATTTTTAAAATCTTCCTTTCTTTTTTAAACTCCGTGCCAAATCAAAGTACCTCACATAAAATGGGACGGATGGAGTAAGATTTTTTAAGGGTAAGTGCACTTCACCTAAGTTTTTCATCTCCGGCAAACAAAATTTCCCCTTGTTTGTTCAAGAACCCGATCGTGATATCGTTGTTTTCCCCCAAAATTATCAAACTCTAATTTATAGTTAGTGCAATCAGAGTAAGAAAAGGATCTGCGGAAAGGAATTTTGTTGAAGAAACCGTTGAATTCCAGCAATGGAGATCTTATAAACCTTTGAGTTCCATTGTGCATTGATGAAGAAGATCGGTTAATGACAAAACTTTCAAGTTCTATTTATGGGCAAATGATAGCAGGGATTGAAACAAAACAAGTTTTAAGGTACTCTCCAGGTATCGGCCGTTCATTATTGTTCCCAAATTACTAGTAATTAAAATTGATAAAACTTAATTAGTATATTTTGTCCCTTTCCTCTGGATTATACCTAATATAATTGTTTTACTATGTTGACAAATTAACTAGGGAAACAAATAAAAATGATACTTATTTGGGTTTCGAAAAATTCATAATTTCTTTATCAATTTTAAATTTCAGTAGCTGAGATGTCTTCAAATTGGGTAGCAGCTCAAGTAACTCGGTAAGCAGTTTTTCTCTGTGGATGTAGTTCATACATGTCTATCTAATTGCCTTTGGAAATTATAATCTGAATTGAGTTTATCTAATCTGATTGCAACTGTATTTTATGTTGTATTTGTTTCGTCCTTGTTAGTCCCATTTATTTCTGGGATTATGGTGATTGAGATTGAGATTATGGTGAATATTGGTCCATCTCGGTTGGACTCACCTACTTAGCTTAGGTTTTACCTCAGTGCCAGATTGAATGACTTGCTGCAGTTTGGAGATTGTATTAAAAGTTATAAGTATGTGAATAGAGGAAAATGTTATTAAGTAGTAATATTGTAGCGCAGTTTGATCTTCTGTAGATAGAAACTCTGATTTTAGGGCAAGCAATATAGCAATTGCAATGCCCCCCAAAAGAAAGAACAAGTGTTTGAGTCACAGGGAGTCTCAATAAACCTTTCGGAAGAAAGAAAATCCAATTTGCTTTTATTTTCCCCCTGTATGCCCTCCTTATGTGCTGTTGCGTTATATCTTTTATATTTTGTCCATTTATTCATCTCTTTGTTTTCTGAATGTTCTGAAGTGAGACAGAAAAAAATGACTTAGACTCTTAAGTTCAAATGAGAACCGATATGTAGTGGTTTTGTGTTAGAGCATTATTGATCTAAACAAAGCAATTAAAATATCACCATGTGTCATGTGGCATGCTGGATATGTGTAATTGCCAATCCTGTTTTTTTTTAAAGTCAGTGTTGTAAAAAGCTTTTAAGAGAAGCCAGGCGTGGGTCTTGCGCTTCAGATGGCTCCTTCTCTTCTGCAATATCCCTACTGCTTGCAACTTCTTTTTTCTTCTTTCTCTTCTTCTCTTCTCTGTTTCGATATCTTTTTTTTTCTCGCCTATCTCCATTGAAAGTTTAGCACCACATCTTGTTACACAATTGACTAGTAAGTTCTCTTCCTTTTCTTAATTAATGTCTTTAGTTACGGTAATATTAAAGACCTTTAAATCCATAAACTAATCATACCTGAAACACACTCCTAAGTAAGGATGAATTCCTGGTCACTAGCTCCATTCATTCCATAATTTCAAAGGAACTAATGATCCTCATTGTTATTAACTTATTATTCTGTGAGTTGCTTGGTGGTTTTTTAGTGGAAATGACTTAATTCTAGAGGCAGTTTCCATGCACTAACATCTCTGTTTTGGCAATTGTTGGGACAGGTATAATTCTTATTCAGAGTGACACTTTGGACCTTCTTAGATATCGTGATGCTGGAAGATAAAGGTTGGGAAGATCCTCGTTCCGTTAATAGCCCTAGGAGGATCTTGAGTTTTTCCAAGAATAGGAAGGCCACTGTGTTCTTTCCAGACCCAGACGACAGAGATTCAGGTTTTGGTGTTTCTGGAGATCAGGGACCCAAGACTTTTGAAGTTTACGGATTTGTTGGCTCCATTACTACTGTTGTTGCTACAGGTCTACCCATCCTCATCTTTAAGAAGCTTAGTCTGTTATTTAGAACATATCCCTATGTTTGAATATTCAATGTTTTCTTCTGATATCATAGTTTGGAATACAGTTGAATTGTTAGTATTATAATGTGATGTGATTTTCTTCCTTGGTAATGCTCATCATGACATGAAAGTTACTTATTCTTATCTTTTGGTTAGACTCCTTGGCCTTCCTGGAAATGCTTGTGCCCAGGCATCACCAGTATCTGGATATAGGGCAGAGTATGCTAATTGATTTTTCTTGGGAGTTGAAATGACAAGGCTGTTGAAATCTCTGGATATATTACTCTGCAAATATTGAAAACAGATGCAAATACTAATTTTTGATTTGTCTGCAAGATGTCGTCTGTTGTAAAGTATTGAGCTCTCATATTTTGTATGTATAATTGCTTTGCTTTAACCTTTCCACTGGTATTCCAGCGGTCACAACATTCATTTGATTTCATGCATACGAAAGTCTGATTGGTTTCTATTATTTTCAATGAGGAGTTCTTTTTCTGGTGTGGGCATATCTTCCTGAACATTGGTTGCACTCTTTGGGAATTGTTTACTATCCAAGCAGGTAAAGAAGATGTACTTGCAGGCTTGTGTCATCTTTACATCTTGTCTCTAAAAAGATCCCTTTTTAAATTAGGAGATAATATGAATTTCATAGTTTCAAATTTACTTAGCTGGTTTGTCTGAGACACCAGAGCAAGAAGCTGGTTAGTGTATTCCAGCTACCTAAGCTGGGCTTAGTTTATTCCAATTTTTGGATCTATAATGGCATTTGGTTGTTCTGAACAAACATCTTGAAAAGAGGAGGCACAAATTTTTAATTGATAAGCCCTTTAGTTGCATTTCAGAAATTGATATATATTGGTCCTACATTTCAGAAATTACAAGTGCATGAAAGCAACTTAAAGCATTTGCAGAATGCTCAAGATGAAAAACTGCTAGTATGGGCATCTGGCTAGTAAAATGGGTTCGGAGTACCTTGCAGAACTGCTGTCAAAGGTATACTTATAGTTCTTTTCATGTAAGGAGTTCCTAACTAAGTTGAGCAGAGTTCATATTCAGATTGTTTCCATTTCAGCACTTGGAACAATTTATTAAGGCAAGAATACCAAGTATCACATCACTTATCAATAAAAGCATAGATGAACTTGAATCGGAACTGGACCACCTTGGAAGGCCTATTGCTGTTGATGCAGGCGTAAGCTTCGACTTCTATATCTATCGTTGCTACTGTTGATCGAGAGATTTTCCTTTATCTTAGTAACTGAACTGGTCTATTTCAGGCTCAACTGTATACTATTTTGGAACTTTGCCGTGCTTTTGATAAGATATTTAAGGAGCATCTAGATGGAGGGTAAGTGGATTGTTTTCTTTTTTCCCTTAATTTTCCAAATCTAACTTTCATTATCGTAAGCACTTCAAAAAATCCAAAGGAACCATAGTGGAAAACCATAAAGCACAAAGGAACTTGAAATACAAGGGAGGGATTTGGCATAGGCTGAAAAGAGACCACCAAATGTGACTAGTACCCATAAAACACAAAGAATTTGAAGAAACTTCACTCATGAGAACTTGTAAAAAAAAAAAAAAAGATGTACCCATTAAACTCAAGGAATTGGCAAACATTTCAGTAGACATGTGACACTCGTCTACCTTGTCTGTAAATGCTTGTACTGATTTAAGATGAACTTCCAGTTTATTGCTCTGCACCTAGACTATATATAACATGAATTTATCTCTTTTTGTTAATCAGTCGACCTGGTGGTGATCGAATTTATGGAGTGTTTGACAACCAACTACCTGCTGCTTTGAGAAAACTCCCGTTTGACCGATATCTCTCTGTGCAAAATGTGAGGAATGTTGTTTCAGAGGCAGATGGTTACCAGCCTCACTTGATAGCACCTGAGCAAGGTTATAGACGTCTAATTGAAGGGGCCTTAAATTATTTTAGAGGCCCAGCTGAAGCCTCTGTTGATGCTGTAAGTAAGGGGGGAAAGCCAGAAGCTTCTGCTGCCGTAGACCGGTATGGAGAGGGTCACTTTCGTCGGATAGGTTCAAATGTATCATCATATGTAAATATGGTGTCTGATACATTGAGGAACACACTCCCCAAAGCAGTGGTTTATTGTCAAGTTAAGGAGGCCAAACAATCTTTGTTGAACTACTTCTACACTCAGATTGGGAAGAAAGAGGTACTATCTCAGTGTTCATCCCGAATTAGCAGTTTTTTTTATAGTACAAGTGCTGACGGTTGTTTATATTTCTCAGGGCAAGGCACTTTCAGAATTGTTAGATGAAGATCCTGCATTGATGGAGAGAAGAATGCAATGTGCCAAGAGGCTTGAACTGTACAAGAAAGCAAGAGATGAGATTGATTCTGTAGCGTGGGTACGATGATTGCACTTTAAGAGACACCTTTCTTCTACGATACAACAAATTCACGACTTGGATGAATCAATATCGCTGCTTGTTCGAACATTTTAACAGCCTAAATTCTTTGATTGTTGTAGTCATATTATTTGGTTTGGATGAATTGTTGCTTTATTATGTATTTGTGAACTGAGTTAATACCACATTCAGTTGTCCTTTTGCTCAGGCTGCTGCTCCATTTTTGTACTTGTACCTTTTACTGCTTATGGACTTGGATAAAGAAATGATGTAGAAATATGGCGTCTTTAAACAGTAAACTTCTTCTAAAACCAATGAGCAAAGAAAAACACTCAAATACCAGAACCATTATGAACTTGTCAATTTGATCTTTTTCCCTAACAGTAATATACCCTTGCTAACCAGTATATTAGTTTTTCTGTACTACACAGAGGAAAGCAAATGGACGATTGTGAAAAAAGCCACATCTAAATTACATTTAATGTCAAGTACCTGAATTGGGTGAATCAAAGAGATACACTGATAAATGAAGGAAATGAAACTGATACAATCTATCCAAGCAAAATAACTGCACAGTAAAATTATTTCTTATCTTGGATTGAACATAAGGTCATTTATTTGATCAATCCGAATATCAGATATAGGCTCTATAGGTTGCTCATCATTGTCTGTTGAAGGCACGTTGCGCAAAGGTTCTCTTGTGAATTCATCTGCAGAATAGATAGAAAGAAAACATTACGAGCTCAATCCCATGATTATGTAAAAACAACTACTAAAAATTAAATTTGGGTATTGCATGCTTCAAGAGTCAAGACAGAAACGCTAGGAAAATCCTTTCTACTGTCATTGCCAGAAAGTCAAGTAACAATTACCATATATCATGCTGAAAGAAGTTGGAGGAGGGGTAGCCAAGAAGTTGAGACCAATGTAAAATCCTACAGCTAGTGATATAGTCATCATCGCATAAGCTGGCGCAGCTAATGCCCAGTACCTGATAAAACCAAGAACAATTTAACAAGATGTTAAATATATCATGTGACAATTAGTAAGTGACCAGCTAAGTTCTGCCAAGAATTTTTTTTTCATCTTGAGCATTCTGCAAATGCTTTAAGTTGCTTTCATGCACTTGTAATTTCTGAAATGTAGGACCAATATATATCAATTTCTGAAATGCAACTAAAGGGCTTATCAATTAAAAATTTGAGCCTCCTCTTTTCAAGATGTTTGTTCAAAACAACCAAATGCCATTATAGATCCAGAAATTGGAATAAAATAAGCCCAACTTAGGTAGCTGGAATACACTAACCAGCTTCTGGTGTCTCAGACAAACCAGCTAAGTAAATTTGAAACTATGAAATTCATATTATCTCCTAATTTAAAAAGGGATCTTTTTAGAGACAAGATATAAAGATGACACAAGCCTGCAAGTACATCTTCTTTACCTGCTTGGATAGTAAACAATTCCCAAAGAGTGCAACCAATGTTCGGGGAGATATGCCCACACCAGAAAAAGAACTGCTCATTGAAAATAATAGAAACCAATCAGACTTCCGTATGCATGAAATCAAATGAATGTTGTGACCACTGGAATACCAGTGGAATTAGGTTAAAGCAAAGCAGCTATACATACAAAATATGAGAGCTCAATACTTTACAACAGACGACATCTTGCAGACAAATCAAAAATTAGTATTTGCATCTGTTTTCAATATTTGCAGAGTAATATATCCAGAGATTTCAACAGCCTTGTCATTTCAACTCCCAAGAAAAATCAATTAGCATACTCTGCCCGCCCTTCATAATTATGCTGGAAAAGATGTAAAAAAGATTTTTGAGGGGTAATATGGTCTTTAACTATGTTAATGCCTGCATTAAAACCCCCTACATTACTAATACAAAAAAAATTCATGTATTAATCACACACACATCAATACACACTAGAGTAAAATATTAGTTATACATACACATATCATAATATATCAGAAATGGGAGATGGAAGATGGCTAGGAAGGCCAAGGAGTCTAACCAAAAGATAAGAATAAGTAACTTTCATGTCATGATGATCATTACCAAGGAAGAAAATCACATCACATTATAATACTAACAATTCAACTGTATTCCAAACTATGATATCAGAAGAAAACATTGAATATTCAAACATAGAGATATGTTCTAAATAACAGACTAAGCTTCTTAAAGATGAGGATGGGTAGACCTGTAGCAACAACAGTAGTAATGGAGCCAACAAATCCGTAAACTTCAGAAGTCTTGGGTCCCTGATCTCCAGAAACACCAAAGCCTGAATCTCTGTCGTCTGGGTCTGGAAAGAACACAGTGGCCTTCCTATTCTTGGAAAAACTCAAGATCCTCCTAGGGCTATTAACGGAACGAGGATCTTCCCAACCTTTATCTTCCAGCATCACGATATCTAAGAAGGTCCAAAGTGTCACTCTGAATAAGAATTATACCTGTCCCAACAATTGCCAAAACAGAGATGTTAGTGCATGGAAACTGCCTCTAGAATTAAGTCATTTCCAGAAAAAAACCATTTGAGAAAAGACCCATCCATACTATTATTTGTTAATAGAAAACGATTCCGATTTTGCAAATTCATTTTTTACATGTGGTCAATTATGATTTCGGCCACATCATTATTTATTTATTTTTTAAAAAGAAAAAAAGCCCAAATATGTCATCGAACTTTGAAAAAAGACTCATTTATGCCATTCGTTAAAAATTTGGCTCGTCTATGCCATTTCAATTAACAAATATGGCATGGATAAACCTTTTCTCAAACATAAATAATATAGATGACTCAAATTTTTATCGGACTACATAAATGATCCCCTTTTATCTCAAAATTTAATACTAGCATGTTTGAGCCTTCTCTTAATACAATGCATTATTATATTATATTATAGACTAAAAAAAGTGTAGGAAGGTACTAATATTACAAGTTCACAACCCAGTCCTTACCTGTTAATTGATGGAAAAAAGAAAAAGGTGGTAAGTTACCTTAACACTGTTACTCTGTCCCAATTTATGTGATTTACTTTTCTTTTTAGTCAGTCCCAAAAAGAATGACACATTTCTATATTAAGTAACAATTTGACTATAAAATGTCTATTTTACCCTTAATGAAATGATTTACAGCCACACAAATTTCTATCTTTCATTTTGGACCACAAAATTTTAAAATCTTCCTTTCTTTTTTAAATTCCGTGCCAAATCAAAGTACCTCACATAAAATGGGACGGATGGAGTAAGATTTTTTAAGGGTAAGTGCACTTCACCTAAGTTTTTCATCTCCGGCAAACAAAATTTCCCCTTGTTTGTTCAAGAACCCGATCGTGATATCGTTGTTTTCCCCCAAAATTATCAAACTGTAATTTATAGTTAGTGCAATCAAAGTAAGAAAAGGATCTGCGGAAAGGAATTTTGTTGAAGAAACCGTTGAATTCTTGCAATGGAGATCTTATAAACCTTTGAGTTCCATTGTGCATTGATGAAGAAGATCGGTTAATGACAAAACTTTCAAGTTCTATTTATGGGCAAATGATAGCAGGGATTGAAACAAAACAATTTTTAAGGTACTCTCCAGGTATCGGCCGTTCATTATTGTTCCCAAATTACTAGTAACTAAAATTGATAAAACTTAATTAGTATATTTTGTCTCTTTCCTCTGGATTATACCTAATATAATTGTTTTACTATGTTGACAAATTAACTAGCGCAGTTTGATCTTCTTTAGATAGAAACTCTGATTTTTAGGGCAAGCAATATAGCAATTGCAATGCCCCCTAAAAGAAAGAACAAGTGTTTGAGTCACAGGGAGTCTCAATAAACCTTTCAGAAGAAAGAAAAAAATAAAATCCAATTTGCTTTTCTTTTCCCCCTGTATGCCCTCCTTATGTACTGCTGCGTTATATCTTTTATATTTTGTCCATTTATTCATCTCTTTGTTTTCTGAATGTTCTGAAGTGAGACAAAAAAAAATGACTTAGACTCTTACGTTCAAATGAGAACCGATATGTAGTGGTTTTGTGTTAGAGCATTGTTGATCTAAACAAAGCAATTAAAATATCACCATGTGTCATGTGGCATTCTGGATATGTGTAATTGCCAATCTTGTTTTTTATTAAAGTCAGTGTTGTAAAAAGCCTCGCTTTAAGCTTTGAAGAGAAGCCAGGCGTGGGTCTTGCGCTTCAGATGGCTCCTTCTCTTCTGCAATATCCCTACTGCTTGCAACTTCTTTTTTCTTCTTTCTCTTCTTCTCTTCTCTGTTTCGATATTTTATTTTTTTTCTCGCCTATCTCCATTGAAAGTTTAGCACCACATCTTGTTACACAATTGACTAGTAAGTTCTCTTCCTTTTCTTAATTAATGTCTTTAGTTACGGTAATATTAAAGACCTTTAAATCCATAAACTAATCATACCTGAAACATACTCCTAAGTAAGGATGAATTCCTGGTCACTAGCTCCATTCATTCCATAATTTCAAAGGAACTAATGATCCTCATTGTTATTAACTTATTATTCTGTGAGTTGCTTGGTGGTTTTTTTTCTGGAAATGACTTAATTCTAGAGGCAGTTTCCATGCACTAACATCTCTGTTTTGGAAATTGTTGGGACAGGTATAATTCTTATTCAGAGTGACAGTAATGGAGCCAACAAATCCGTAAACTTCAAAAGTCTTGGGTCCCTGATCTCCAGAAACACCAAAACCTGAATCTCTGTCGTCTGGGTCTGGAAAGAACACAGTGGCCTTCCTATTCTTGGAAAAACTCAAGATCCTCCTAGGGCTATTAACGGAACGAGGATCTTCCCAACCTTTATCTTCCAGCATCACGATATCTAAGAAGGTCCAAAGTGTCACTCTGAATAAGAATTATACCTGTCCCAACAATTTCCAAAACAGAGATGTTAGTGCATGGAAACTGCCTCTAGAATTAAGTCATTTCCACTAAAAAACCACCAAGCAACTCACAGAATAATAAGTTAATAACAATGAGGATCATTAGTTCCTTTGAAATTATGGAATGAATGGAGCTAGTGACCAGGAATTCATCCTTACTTAGGAGTATGTTTCAGGTATGATTAGTTTATGGATTTAAAGGTCTTTAATATTACCGTAACTAAAGACATTAATTAAGAAAAGGAAGAGAACTTACTAGTCAATTGTGTAACAAGATGTGGTGCTAAACTT